CTTAATAAGTTTTTTTTTCAATCAGTTTCATTTAAGCACATGTACCAGATACTATATTTCATATTTCATCGCTATAAGTTGCTGTCGACGCCACCAGTTTTGTCTGCTATTCACGTACGATCCACTATCAGCGATTCATCTACAATCATTAGGAGCTAGACCAAAGTAAGTTTTTATTTATTTCTCATTTAAGATATTTCCTTTTTTTGATACGTATATCGATTTATTTCTCGCTTTCAGTTCACTTTATAATCGCTTCATTGTTAATTAGGTTAGTGTTACATTTCTCAGGGATATTTTCTTAGTTTAGTTTCTGCGGCATTTTCTTTTACTTTGAACCACACAAATTCAGCTACAACGTTACCATCAATCATAACTACGCGTAATCTTCAATCCTACTTTGCCCTCTTCATCTGTGATTTCACACCGACCTCCTTATTTTCATTTGTAATTTTGATAACGTACTTCATTTGATTAAACTGCGATTTATATTGTGCATTCAGATTGTCTTCTCACTTCTACACCAGTAACTTTTGAAGGTTAAATTAACTTGTCAGCAAATCCCACCCAGTCATCGGATATCTGCTTCATCCATGCGCAGTTTCACTATCCCATAAAAAAAACTGGCACTAGCAGAAGATGTAAGGTACAGATACAACCAGTGGAAACAATCATTGAGTGTGGAGTTTGCCAAGTGCAAATGTGTCTAGCACCTTTGCTTCCTGCGATATCACACATTGAAAGAATATCTCTTTGATGACCCTGACAGAAATAATTCTGCTAAGGGCTGTTATTTAATTCAGTAACCTCTGCTGTAGCTACATAAAATATAGGTGTCTTTAAGCCAACTGTCCATGATCTTAGCAACTCTAGCTGCTGAAATACGAAATTTGTCTAGCATGTTTCTTGGGCTGCAGAAGTTTGATTTAAAGGAAGACAAACTAGAACTAGAATATCTTATTATAATTAAAACTTGATGACTCAGAGAGACTAAGGATTCAACCATGAAGACATTTGTAGAAAACTTGAGATAATACCTAAATTTCATTTGTATATCACATAAATGAATTCCAAACATCAATCAAGGTTTTCTCAGTCTCAAGTTTAAAAATTGAGTTGATATTGTTATTAGCTCTTTTAAATAGGTTGAAAAGCTTTAGTTGGTATTTTCTCATTTTGCAAATAATTGAATTTACTGGAAGGTGAAGTTGTTGCAACATGTTAAAATGAAACACAACATTAAATTTTATTGATATGTAAAAAGTTTTCATTTGACTTTATACTAGCAAGTCTCTGTAATATATTTCGACCCAATCATTTTCCACAACTTGTAAACACCATTACAAAATAATTAGTAAGGGAAATGGAAAATCTGTGGTACTATATACACCATATTTGAAATACCACGTCCATAATAAGCTAACAGGATCGAGGAGGGTGTATGTGGGAACTGGCTCTCTTGTCTGTATCATTAATTTGCTAATCGCTCCTGTTGCCAATGTTTTGATGAGGTTGGGCTCTCAGGGCAAAGGAACTGAGGATTTTAGTAGTTTTTAGAAAGATACAATATTTTATTACATAAACTTGATGCATAGGCTGTAAACAAATTAAAACTTGAGTTGACTGTACTTTTGTAGCCAATACCTATCCATTCACCTTATGAAATGTTAGTAGGATCAGAGGAAAAAGTGATGTGCCATACACCTGCAAGATTTCATTTAATTCTTCTAATTACATGAGTATTAACTGATACTAGGAGATCTAACAGAAAGGTCATTACTTCGTTCTTATGGTAAAACAACACATCTTCGACAAAGCGCGATTTTCTAATAATTAATGTAAACCCTACGATAGTTAAGTGAAGAGAGAATGAAAGAAACTTAATTGCTCACGCCGTTCGCTATTATTTGAAAACTTTCTAAGCAAATGATATATAATCCGTGAGATAGCTTCTCTCCCCTTAATACCACGACTCAATTAAAGATTCCAAACGATAGGACAAGAAATAACTTAAAGAATACGAACACTTTGAAATGTTATTCGAGCGATGAACCGGCGCGAGAATTTTAAGGCTATGAATGCCGAAGTCATTGTTTTACCGAAACGTGATTTGAAATATAAACTGAAGATATTATCAAACAACGATTGGTGAAAAAAGGTTTGAATTTTTCTAGGCCTCAGCGTAAGAGAAAAAAATCAGATAGGACAGGACTTGCCTCCACTTCTTTCTCGGATCCTTTAACTTCTTAGTTCGCTTCTCTTCGTGGATGACCTTTTTGCAGTCTGTTTTCTGGAGCTCTTTATATTTCCTTCTCACTTTGCTCTTCGCTAGACTCTAGACTCTCTTCGCCTTTTCACTTATGTCTTCTCTTGTTCTCTTTCGTGTTCCTCTCGCCGCATTGTGCCTATTTTAGCGTCTTTTCTAACTTTCTAGCACGATTTTCTCGGCTCGCTTTACGCCTTTTAACTCTTCCTTTCTTTGGTCACTCTGTCTCTATAATTTCTTTCCAGTCTATTTCTGCGCAAAACTCTCTGTCCACGAGCTTGAATTATAACAACTTCCTCCGTTTGAAAAAACTTTAGTTGTGCCAGTGTCGTTGTTTTGCGAGTTGATTAAAAATTGCAAAATACTGAGAATTTCTGTTTACTGCAACCTCGCCAGTCTAATTTCCCGCTCAAAACGTGAAGACCTCGTGTAATGCCTAACCATGTGCCCGCGGTACGCTGCACTAAAGCTCAGCACTCGAGTATGCGCACCTCATCGTTATCTGCTAGTGTCTCCTGGCGCACACTAATGACGTGTATCCAAGATACGCACGCAGATCCTCTTTTCCCTTTACCCTTCCATTACGTGATGGCTTGGACGGTGCCTGCACATGCTAGAAGTAGCACCTTGTACGGTCGGTCGCACGGTAGTCCAAAGTTTTTCAGCTACATGAGTTGCTTCTATTTCCCGTAATTATGGGGTTACGCTGCGCGCTGTAAAATGGTAACGAGATCGTTAACCACATGAAAAAAGAGATTACAAAAAATTCGATTGCAAAATCATCAGCCTCATAGCCGAGCAGTCGTTTTTAATGCATAAATGTAACACAGAATACAACTCATGTTATCCAATACTAAACTGTCTACCTTAGTCTTAAAGACGCACTTGAACTTTAAAAGTTTCACAATGATAAACTATGTCAAGGAAAACAAAAAAATTTTTTTTTTTTTACATGATGGGCTACTTTTTTTCACGTAGTATTTAATTTGGAGCATAAACCTATCATGGAATATACAGCTGTTTTGAGAGAGGTGGTCCGACAAAAAGCGTAAAAATTCACACGACAACCACGAAAGGTATTGAGGGTAGTTTTCAGATCACGGCACCTTGACTTCAGGATGCAAAGGAAATCTGAGAAACGTCATTGTACGGACGAGGTACAGCGAGTTTGATTAATTAATATATTTTCCTTTACTTAATAAAATTCATTAGTTACCGGATACCCAGATTATTTTCAGAGATTGTCGCCTGCAGTTTTGTCCGTTTTTTTCCCGATAACCTTTCTCGTAACAGCTATATACCTTGCAACACTTGGCTATTACAATGTCCTTCATTTAATCCTTAAAATATTTATGTGCTATGAGCTAAACCTGATGATTAGACTATACAATCGACTAAAACTGATACTGAAGACGTGTCGACCTCACTCTGTTCAATGGGTAGCGAAAAGGAATGGTGACGATACTGTATCATTGTGGGATTGCGGAGGAGAGTTACAGCAAGAAGCCAGCGGTTGACCACCCTCTGTGACAGGCGTGGATGGCGGATTTCGCGTTTGATTCCTGTTTCAAAGTTACACAGACATATAGTACATAAACGGTATTGTTGAAGTGCATTTGAATAAATGCAAACTACATGTCGACTCCCTTACAAACGGAACTCAGGCACTGTCCGGTATGGTTACCTTATATTAATTAATTGACTTACCAGTGACTTGTTTTGGCTCCTCAGCGTTGTTTGGCTGCACAGAAAGGTTGGAATGTTCTGTGACGGACAGATGTTTGAGTTAAATTGTTAAACATAGCTATATTTAGTTGTTAGTTTATTTGCTCTGGTCACGATTATAGACATGCGCTCGCTCTGATTGGTCGAAGATTGCACCATATCTCGCTATAATCTCCTCATTGATAAATGTGAAAGAAGAAAATTTCAATTACAAAGAGCACAAAAGATGCTACCCTACTGCGTTTGGTAGAACGCTTTTAATGGCACCAAATGAAGCTTTTAGGTATTCTTGCTTATGTAGATACGAGTAATGAACACGATTGCAAAAAAACGCATTCTTTATTTACAAATTTGCAAAATTATTCGAAAGCACCTGAGCAATTGTGCTAAATTGTATTGGCCTCAGGTTAAGTGAACATTGTTAAATAATTCCCTCGACTTTGTCTCAGGAATTATTCAACAGTATTAACTTCGCCTTCGGCGAATAATTGGCCGACTAAATAACTGACACGCTGACAGTTTTACTTACTATTTATTGACTTACTGACCGCCGCATTGACTGACTGATTGACTGGCTGACTGATTAACCAATCCTATTCGAGTTAATACTCTCAACATGTTCTTCTGAGACTGGTAATATCTTATTTCTTAAAAAGTTGCTTACGTTTCTCCTCCGAAGTTGTCCCCTTGTTGCTTTCAATGAGCAGTTGGCAGAACATTAACACAACGGGATGTCTGTGGGCTACCAACACATGAAGAAATCCAAGATACGCTACAAAACCTGTTCGTTAAGTTGAAGGGGAAAATAAGCGTTAGATGGGGACTCAACTTAAGTCTGCGTTGCTGTTGGGGTCGTTTTAGTTGAAACTTTCCCGGCTGAAGTATCTTTAGCTAAGAGACCAATCATAATTTATCACCGGGGTGGAGAAGGGAAAAAGGATTTTGCAGGTGATCGTATGACTTTCAGTGGGGACGGAAGGGAAACAAGTCGTCTCTCACAGAGTTTAAAGGGAGGAACCGTAGCAAATTGACTGCCAATGAGGATTGAGGGGGAGGCAGGGGGTTCATTAGAATACTACAGAACCTTATTGGGGGTCGGGTAGATTTTATTGTGACACAACCAAAATCCTCCGTTCCCCTTCCCCCGAAAAATATTTACCAGTCCCTTGAGCCGTGTTGCATTTTTGTTCAAATACTTCGGTAATTTGATAAAATCAAAAGCAGCAAAAACAAAGTCTGAGAAGCAAGAAGCGGTTGCCCAATCTTTCAACTTTTCGGCAGAGATACCGCCATTCGGCAAGCATTGAATGGCGGATGATAGGTCAGAAGACTAAACACAATTTCCATTTTTTGATAAAAACTCATTTGAACACTGAGGAATTAACTTTCTATGGATGCGTTTTTCCGGAGAGCTTACCTTTGTCCCAATTCTGAAATCCTGGCATTAAAACAGTTCGGTCAAGACGCGAGAAGAAAAATAACCCGAGAATTGTAGCTTTGGCTATGCGAAGAAGACCTGACAGGAATCCAACAATGGTGTTGAGGAACACGAACGCATACGACATGATAGAGAACAGTCGTCTAAAAAGTGATTCCAAAATGAGAACAAAGGAGAAAAAAGTGAAACAAATAAAAAAATTAATAGCTGCTTATACTGAGGGGAACATTGTTGAAATGAAAACGTGACCTATTTCCAAGAAGGTAAACATAAAGAAGAACGTCTAGGTGGGTTAACCCGTAGCCGTTAGGCGGCAAAAAATTAGCTGTTAGGCATAAAAACGAAATGTTTTCTATCTATGATGTGTCATTTCGAGAACATACGATTAACCGTTTCCAGAAAAAGGCCAACATTTTAGCCTTTAGCTGTAAAAGCTATCACCACATTAATACCTTCCAGGAACCTGTAGGCAGCCACATGTGCCGATTCCCGATAAGTTTCTTAAAAACATAATGACCCTCTTCAGCGAAGAGGAGAGATGATTTATTCAGTTGATTTGTTACAGAGCTGCAGCATTCTAATTGGTAGCAGATTATCATAAACTCTGCGAAAACTAATTTTCGTACCAACATCCTGCGTCTTTGGAAAGACAAGAAGTATTTCCTTTCGTTGCAAATGAGACGAACTGCTATATTCTTTGTTGAGCGTCAAAGCCACTATCTTGGACAAATTTTGTTGGAAAATTCGATTACACAGCCAGTTTTAGAAAGTACAAGAATGCAAGTTTTTGTGACGTAAATTGTGTCATTTAACGTTGCATGGAGTAAGAATCACGAATGGCACTCCAGCTCTTGACGCCAATGTGATCGCCAATTAACACATAAACGCCATGTTAAATTGCTTCTGTTCAGTAATTGCTTATAGTTGACTTTAAAAAACTGCGGTAAGAAGAAAACCAGCCTGCAGGCGTCTCATTAGGGCGAGCTAACGTTATAAGCTCGCGATCGTTCATCTGACTGGCCATGTTTGATTTGGAGTTATAGTGGACCCCTTCCCTTTTTTTCTGACCGTCGACCGTCCCCTTGGTATAAATTTCTTCCTCCTCCCAGCCTTCCGCTGCCATTATAATCAAAGATGGCGGCCATAATTGTGGTCAAGGAAATACTGAGCTCTCGCTCACCGAAATTACGCCTGCTCTGCAAGCTAGAAGAACACGAATTGGTGCACAAGGCGTAGTCGAGTGATATTCTTACCACAAATTGACGTCTTTGTGATCTATAACTGAACACACCCACGTTAACAATCAATGATAAAGCAGCAAAAATGCGTTTATGATGACGTCATCTTTGTTAAGAACCAGTCAAAGTACGTGCCCAGCTCAGCCTATCATATTAATAGAAACAGAAACTGTCTTTTTAAGTTACCGGTTGTCAATCACGACTGAGAAATTTGGGTATTCTCTGTCACGAAAGGCATAACGAGATAGGAATATGCGCTGGAACATTCGTAATATGACAGCCAGCACTATCGATGGTCTGCAAACAAAAAAAAAAAAGAAAAAACCTAATACAAACGGCTAAACAAACATAAACGAAGTCAATACCTGAGAGGAAATGTAAATAACATATAAAACAACCTATTTACGTTATCAATCTACTCACACAGCTCCTTTTGCGAGTGATAAAATCCAATCGCGTATTATCTTAGAAGTGCTTGGAATGATAGTTAGAAGGAAGCCTAAATTTGACAACAGGACAAAACCTGAAAAGAGAAACGAGCGTAAAATTGGAAAAACAAATACTAGAGATGCGAATATCTCACCATTTGCATAACTTGATTAGACACTACTTAGCACTCTTCGAAGTCTTGTAAACATTCGCGAAAGTTATACAAACCCTCAACAAATTCCAACTCTTAGTTAGCTTAAACAATGTAAAAACGAAAAGAAACCTCCTTTTCTGCTTCAATATAGGCTCGCGCCCGTTATGTTACTCTGGATGTTCCTGTGCAATTAATAATAAATATGGATAAATGGAACTACAACTTTTTTAATTGCTTTTAATAATGTTAAGTTTGAGCAACACTAGTGTGAGCACGGAACAAATGCTAAAGCTCTTACATTGTTTAAGGCTAAAAATTCCACACATACCAATCACGGCATAGGCAACTTGGTATCCAGTATAACTCAGACTTCTTCCCTTCAAGACAAAATATTCGGGCAAAATGTACGTGACCTCCTTTAAATCATCATCGTTACCATGATCGCGACCATGAGTATGAATGCAGCTGTAAATGTGATCTTGACCATGACCGTGACCATAAGCGTAAATGTGAACGTGAATGTGAATGTGAACGTGACCGTGACCGTGACGTGTTTTGACTGTTATCGTCAGTTATATTCAACCATCATAAGGTTATTCAAGGACCAAATTCGCAATTTCCTGGAAAAGGTCGGGAGCTTTGCAACCTTTAAAATCATCTTGCCCTTCATGTAAGGTAATTTTTAAACAGATATCAGTGTAGGCAAAGGTCTCTCTTCAATTTTGGTAGTAGCGTTGAAAGAAAATTTATCGCCATACCACAAACGAGGCCGGTGAGAGGCAAACATTTTGCATTAGGCGTCTATCTCCACGGTTAAGTTGGAGTATGTGTTCCCTATGAGAAAGAATTAAAATAGACGTTATAATAATCTTTCAGTCCTGGGCGGAAGGGGGGCGCTCGTCGGGTTTTTCTTTTTTTAACAAGCGCCAAAGCTCATACACGTACCAAGGTTGTTCTCTATAGAATTTTGAAAGAAATGTAGACCAGCGAGATCGAGATCAGACGGTGTCTTGATGGAAATTTAGCAGCGAGCATTCCATGTGGTGACTCTCCTTGTTCACTGTTTCCGGGAACAAAATCTGGGATCCCGAAGAAAAATCCCGCAAAGCATGTAACACCAGGTCCGAACCCGGGTCGAAGAGGAGGAAGACGTGCACTCTCACTCAGTACTGCGCCATCCCTGATCACTAATAAAACTTAAGCATCCTGTCGAAGTCGAACATTTATGGTCCACTCGAGCACGTTTAGGAAACAAGTTACACGTACCTGTGGCACTTCATGAAATGAAGTGTTGTTATAACATAAATCAGAGCTGCGAAAATGTACGATCCGTAAAGACAACCTAAAATCAACACAAGAAATATATAAATCTGGCCAGTAGAAAATAGAAAACAGAATTATCATGTTCCAAGCAAGCAATTAGGTGGTAAAACAGTGGAATAGTGAACAGCCCATTTGTAAACGGTGCAATAATAGCGATTATGGACCAAAAACAACGACAATCCAGAACCAAACCTTCCTCAGCTTCACTCGTTTGCACCAATCGCACCATTTAAAATCATTTCATTAACTGAGTACCTGGAACAAGCAAAAATAGCCTCTGAAACTAAAGCTAACTTCCTCGGCGATACGACGTCGCAATGGAATTCTCCTCACTACGTGGGCAAATCGTGAAAGAAGTCTCTCTTTGCATGATAAAGGCTTTTTACACAAGCGACATTCTCTCGCTAAAACTTCAACTTCACAATCATCTCAGCGCACCCCTTGCGATATAGCAAAAGTTTCTGAGGAGATTGTCGATCTCTTTCAGTGGTATTTTTCCTTATTTGTGAGTTTTTCTGATGGAAATGGTCGCAGGGGATAAGAGTTTCGATGAAATGCCGAAGAAAATACAGCCTATGAGAATGAAGTATGTCCCATTTGACATATGACAATGAACTTGGGTAATATGACTAGTTTTTAAGGAGCAGTTTCGGTGGATCATAATGTATTCAGTAGGTTTGGGAAAAGGTTTGATTGATTAACTAATAAACGGAGTGACTAAAAGAGTGACGAAAGATTGTCCGCTTTACATGGTCAAGTCGATCAAGGCTTTGAACTTAAAAGATTCTAGGAAGCAGGTGAATTTTTATGTTTTACTGCCGATACATCACCTCTCAGTTTATGAATATTCAAATTGAAACCCAGATGGCCTGGAAGGTCTTTAAAGGCTTCGAACAACGTGAGAAAAAGTAATAAGATCTACATGTAACAAAGAGAATATATAAGAATCATTCCATGGCAAATATTTCCTGCAAATAATATGGGTCATTAATATACACACTCGTGTCTGTTGTAAATCTTGAATCCTTGTAAAAGACAAAACGAAATGCAGAGAAAGAAAAAATTCCATTTACAAAATCAAGAAACCACACATTTAATGATACACTGAATACTAACTTCAAAGACAACTATCCCGACGAGAAACACTGTTGATATCAACTGAGTGGAGAACTTGAAATCTGAAATCATACACGTTGTCCATGTCATTAGTCCAATCCATAAGTCTAGCTTAGAGCTCGTTATTAAAAAAATAATAATGAAATAAATAAACAAAATGATAAATGAATCAGGGCCTATATACAATTGAAAATCATGAAGTAAAAACCAATAGATCGACCGAAAATACAAACGTTAATTGTTTATGTTATAATGGAATACCATACACACCTTGTCTTGGTGTATAAAAAAAGTAGAAGACTTTCCAATACCACTCTGTCTTGTCCGGGTATCTAAAAAAATTCCGAAGACGACACTGCTGGCAATAACAATAACTCTTATTCTGATCTATAGCTCACCATGACGAGAAGGAAAAGGACGAGGACGGGGACTTGGAGAATAAAGGCAAGAGCTAAGGCTAAAGTCAGGTCAGGTCAGGTCAAGTGCAAAGACAAAGACACTAGAACAAGGACAAACCAAGGAGTAAGAGGAGGACTTGGACAAGTACATGGACAAAACGAGGATGAGGAGGAGGACAAGGACGAGGATAAGGACAAGGACGTGGACAAAGACAAAGACAAAGACAAGAACAA